CGTATAAGAGCGAAGTAAGTTTGTCTCCCTCGCTCTCGAACTACAATAAGGATGATCTTTGAAAACGAGACAAAGAGAAAGGTCACTCTTCTACGAAGATTGCTGAATTAAAGTGCAATTTCATGAGTTTTCTAAAACTAATGGAAGCACATCAACTTAAGGAACATGGCAAATAACAAAAATATGTTTGCAAAACATAAACTAATTAAATATGTTCACACAGATAAAACATGCCTAATCGACGTGTTAACCCGTGTCAAGGAGCCTTCATTAATGACATATGTCTACATGCGTAAATATTTATAAAGACCACGAATGCTGGGTTTCAATGCAATAAGTAAAACTTATCGAGAATTAAAAACAAATAAACAGTAAGAAAAATACGACTCATGAATTAGATCAGACGAAAATCCGGAAGCAGGCAAAGAAACATCTTTCTTGCAACTTGGATGGCAAAAAAAACTGGAGAAATTGGCACAAGTCTCAATCACAAATTTTATATCAAGAGAACAATCGTTTGAATTAGATGATCACATTCGGCGTGGTGGCATAGTGACAGAAGTCAGCTCGAACTCCTGAGGTACCTGGTTCGAATCCGGAGAAGTGATTATTTTTGTCTTAATCGCGCATTCCCTATAAAAAGGAATTTACTCCATACTGCTTCAGTGCAGTCAGCTGAGAAACAGGCAAGAAGTAGTCGACTCACGAATAAAAGGAACATTATGGTATTTTGGTGTGTTCATTACAGAATGGACGATGGGCATGGTCATGTTGCTCGACGCTCCATGTGGCTGTACTTCATCTTAATCCCAAGATTGCCTACTATCCAGTGAAATTCAGAATCAACACAATGTGTAGCTTATAAAATAACATTGATTACTAATTTTATTGTTCTAGCTTCTACCTGAAACATTTTACATGAACAGTTGTACAGGAACTTGCTCTAATATCTATCACAAATGACGGTTTTTCAAACAGTATTATTCTCTCACATTTATATTTGAGGTTATGTTTGTCATGGTGGTCTCAACATTAATGCAGAAACTGGTTTCTTCGATAGGATGAGCACAATTTTTTCGACTCAGCACATGATTTGGATTCGCATTTCCCAGTTTTAAAAGTGTCATAATTCCAAATGAACAATGTAATTGACAAATGACAGAATTAAGTGCTGGCGTCAAGGAACTGGTCCTAATTTTCTCGCTTCAGCCATGAAAACTTAGCGCGTCTGATCATCGAGCGTCCCTTCACAGCTTACCAAGTTACGGCTCTACCAGACCTGTATTTCATCCGCTGTGCTGCATGGAGCCGAGACAAGGACAACCAAACAACCTTCACACCATCCACATGTAGAATCCGAGGAGGATGCTCAGCATCAGGTGACAACGGGTGATAGCAGTCGCCGAAATAACTATATTACCGTCCATCGGAGACACTGTCGACAAGGGCAAAACCGAATATTCGATCACGTAATCAGGCGGGCAACAGAAGATTCCGCGCACAGTGTTTTCACTGTAAAGTAAACATTCTCAACGGAGTTCCACCGTCGCTTACCGGGCGACAGCCAAACGGCAGACTATAGGCAACATGGGCGAAACTGCTTGCTCTACCAGGTCTGTCGATCTTCGGGCAAGTCAAAGCCGCAATTGTCCGTTGGCGCAACTGTCCTAATGTTGACCTCAAGCTATTTTTTGTCGTTGCTTCTGAATGAAATCCACTGGTAAAATCCAAGAAAAGAGTCAGAGTGGAGGACAATTACCGTTGCCTTAATCCATTGGGAGAGCAACAAGTTCACAGTTTGCCCTGTAAAGATTTTTTGCTTATCTCTGCGAACAAAGGTACGGTCGATTTTCTGCGGCATCTTAGTCTTGGGTGATAATTAACTCCCTGTTGGGACAATGACATTTAGTACTATATTTTTTGTTAACATGAGTTTATGACTACTGTCAGAATTTCAACACCAGCCAGTGTTATTTTTCAAAATGTTGGCTCCAAAATAAACAACTTAAAGTTTTGTCTGCATTTTTGTAGCTTTGGCTCTTAACATTTATCTTATTGTAGAATTACCTGAAAGCGAGTGTCAGGAAAAGGTGATATGCTACGAGAAAGTACCCCAGATCATCACCAATGACGTTGTAACCGTCACAATCAGCTTCGCGGATAACAATGAGCACCCGTGATACTCCGAGCTGTACTCTACCATCGTATACCAGCAGTCGTCATACGGCAAATTTGTCATTTCATCTGTATGATCAACTATGTCCTTTGCACAAGCCTCTATCTGATTTATGTTCATTTAACTTTTTGTTCAGAGAAATATAATACGCATTATTCTGAAAAATATGCCGGTTTTAGGGGTGTCATAGTCCGTTCAAATCAGAATCTGAAACCACAGTAATTAGTTGCGCCCATAATCTTAGAATCAAAATATCTTATGTTAACATTAGGAAAGCACAACATTTTACTGGAAATTAATTACATATTTTTTGGAACATTCGAGGAGTAACTTAATGAAAATATCTCATGTACACATTTACGTACCTCATCTGAAGTTTCAACCTCGGCGAGATCCGTGTTACTCAGCAGCATGCCCATCGAATTGCACATTTCCGGCCCTTCAATCTGGGAAGATTCACCTGGCGTCGATAAAAAATGCTAAAATATAATTCAGAATGGAATAACAACCAATTAAATAACAACACGTTATATCCGTCAAACAATCCTGAAAACGATGTCGAGATGCATTGCACCACCCCTTGCTGCTACATACCAGAGGGCATTTAAGCAGGCCACCGTAAACGTCATATTATCGGGACACTTACAGTGCTTCCTTTACCATTAACCTTACCTCATCTCAACGGCTTGTACAAAAACCTGAAATCACCATTGGAGTTCTAAGAGTCAGTAGTAAATCTGTGCTAAAAATCTAATTGGGGTTCGTACACCAGAACTTGCCAATAAAAGTACAGCTCTGCGAACATCGCATTTCATGACATACTGCACTGTAGCGTTCCTCCATGTTGTTAGAAGCCTTTTAAACATGCCAACACTCCATGATAAATATTCCTTACATTACAATAAAAAATGCCAGTGTTCGTAGTACATTATAATTCAATAATCAGGTGACGCAATGTTCAATACATTGTCTTCCCCTCAGAGGCATAAGAAGTTTCATTTATGAATATGGCATCATCTGACCAACCATCTGATTGGTTGGAAAATGGAATTATTCACAATTAACGAAATTCCAGGAACCGGTAGCCTTGATATGCTTTATCAGCAACATCAAAAAGTTGACTATCATTGAATAATTTTACTTCTGCCATGATCAGTAAGTAATAAATTTTCAGCATCGTTCGCCATGACAAAACATATTTGCTCGATGGTGCCTTGAGCAGGTATGCTGCTCAAGCTGTCACCATG